GCCCAATCATGCTTGGAGTCCCACCAAGTCTCCGTAATCCCCACAATGTCCGGGCTGGTGTCAGCCAGCAGGAGGGCGAGTTCCTCCTGCTTGTTCCCCATGCTACGGGCATTAGTATAGAGGCATTTCAGGCCTCCTGGAGATGTGGTTACTGACCCCCTAATCCCAGCGTTCCCCTTGTCCCCTTCTTTTACCTGTATGTCCGCTGAGTTTGCCAGTCCGGGCTGGACTATAGTTGCGGGTGCCGGTCCGGTGTATCCTCCGCCCTCATCTTCTAACGTGTGACATTAAATAGAAGAAAACACGAAGTTGTACATGTGAGGACTAATAGGAGACTTTTGCTATAAACTTGGAACTCACAATTCAGAAACAACTGAGATGAAAGGACCCAACAATCACAGAATGACTATGCAGCACCAATGAGATGTGGCTATGCAAAAGGCAAAATCCTAGAAAATCTCAGAAGATAGATTTCCAGTAGAGGTAATGGAAGTATTAGTGCCATTGTGAAAGAGCAGGGTGAGACATTATCTGGAATACTGTGTACAATTCTGGTCATCCATGATTAAGAAATATGAATTCAAACAGGAAAAGCTACAGAGAAAACGGTCTATGTTCCCCTGATCACCCTGGTAGCTTTTTTTGTAAGAAGATATTAGAAGAGCTTGGCCTTGGCCTAGAAAAAGTGAAGGCTCAAAGTGGATAGGACTGATATCTATGAATATGTTAAAGGGGTAAACATCAGGGAAGAAAATGAGCTATTTAGCTTACAGACATTGTTGGCATATGAACAAAAGGGGTTAAACTGGCTGTGAATAAATTCAGCCTGGAGACTAATGGAAGATCCCTAATCTTCAGAGGAATCAGGTTCTGGAACAGACTTCCAACAAGGGCAAAGAAACCAACTGTTTAAAGTGGTGCTAAATAAGTTTATGGAGGGGATCATATAATATAGTTCTTGGAGTTAAAAGGGACTAGACTTGGTAATAGCTCTCATCCTCTGTTCTCAACAGCTACATACAATAGTCCTGTACTTGGTAGTAAACCTGTTTATTACTAGTGCCTAGCACTAGCTGAAATTGGGGGCCCATGTTATAGTTTCATAGTTTCTAGGGTCGGAAGGGACCTGAGCAGATCATCTAGTCCGACCCCCTGCCATGGCAGGAAGAGCACTGGGGTCAAATGACCCCAGTAAGGTGGTCATCCAACCTCCTCTTAAAAACCCCCAAGGTGGGAGCCTGCACCACCTCACTTGGAAGCTGGTTCCAGACTCTAGCCGCCCTGACCGTGAAGTAGCGCCTCCTGATGTCCAACTTAAACCTTCCCTCCGCCAGCTTGTGACCATTGTTCCTGGTCACTCCTTGCGGCGCTCGGGGGAACAGGGACTCCCCCAGCGCCTGCTGATCCCCCCTAACCAGTTTATAACAGGCCACAAGATCCCCCCTCAGCCTTCTCTTTTGAAGGCTGAACAGGTTCAGGTCCCGCAACCTTTCCTCATAGGACCTACCCTGCTGTCCCTTGATCATATGAGTGGCCCTCCTCTGGACCCTCTTGTTGCTGTCCACATCCCTCTTAAAGTGCGGCGCCCAGAACTGGACGCAGTACTCCAGCTGCGGCCTGACCAGTGCCACATAGAGGGGGAGGATCACCCCCTTGGACCTGCTTGAGATGCCTCTGTGGATGCACGACAAGGTGCAGTTGGCCTTCCTAGCCGCCTCCCCACATTGCCGACTCATGTTAAACTGAGTAATAAATAGGCCTGCGCCAGAGAGTTTATAATTTGAATACGTAAGACAGACAT